GCCCCACCGTTTCACCGGGGCGAAATGTAGCTGCTGTAGCTGCTCCAGGCTCCCGAGTTTGGCCACAGCTTGTCCGCCATGCTGCCTGCAGCTGGGCCGGGGAGGTGGTGATGGCATGCTCATAGGTCCTTGGACTCTCCACAGCACCCAGGGATGCTCTAAGGGTGATGCTTCGCCCCAGGAACAGAGCCTGGGGAGGACGTGCAGCAATGGAACATGGGAAGGTGGGGTCAGCTCACCTGGGGGATGATGGTGAGGTTCTGGCGCAGGTCGTGAAGGCCAATTGTTGCTATATCCACCTCGTCAATGATGATCGTCCCTCCAGCAGCCTCCAGCACCCGGAAGAGGCAGTTGGTGAGGGAGGATTTTCCAGCTCCGGTCCGGCCCACAACCCCAACCTGTGGAAGCAGCTATTTAGACCAGCTGACAGGATTGAAGAAAACAGGACAGCTGCTCTCCATCTTGGTCTGGTAGGTCTTCTTGCCCTGCATCTGCAATCACCATCTCCCAGACTGTCTCCTTTGGTCCCTGCCCTGCAGCTCATCCCCAGGAGCCATGTCCCATCACCATTCCTCCCCAGCCCACCAACTGAAGCTAAGAGGACAGAAACAACTCTAACACCGTGTCGGTATGAAAAGGGTGTAGTGAGGGCAGATGCAGAGGCCCTCACCTTCTCGGTGCTTCCAATATTGCAGGTGATCCCCTGAAGAACCAGCTCCAGTTCAGGTCGGTAACGAACTTTGTAGTCGACGAACTGGATCTCACCTTTGCTGGGCCAGCCGCGGGGTGGACGCTTTTTTGTCACCCATGGAGCCTGGGGGCACAGGAGCGTTAGGAGGGTTGCACCCTGCAATGCTGACTAGCACCAAGCTGTGCAGCTGGTGTTTGCCTGGACCCTGGTCTCCTCACCTCATTCTTCACCTTCGTGTACTCGTGTACCCGCTCCACAGCCACAATGTTCGTCTCCAGCTCCGAAGATGTCCGCACCAGCCAGTTCAATGTCTGGGTCACCTATGTGGCAGAGCCAGAGGATGCTCAGTGGGACCCAGGAACAGCCACCTCCCACCTCAGCTCAGGAGCTCAGTCTGGGCATGAGCATCCCTGGCCTGGCCCCTAACTCTCCACTCTGCAGCCACAGGCCCTTCTCCCCAGCACTTCAAGAGCTTTGCTGCAGCATCTGTGATCCGCAGCCGGAACGTGCGCCTCTCTATGGCAGCAAGCATCCCCCTCACACTGGGGTACGTGCTAGCCTGGCTCCAGTCCAGCTGCCCACGTGATGGGACACCCCACGTGATGGGACACCCCACGTGATCCCCCCGCCATGGACCTGAGCTGGAGGCAAGGCAGCATCCTGCAGCCAGCCCAGAGCCATCAGGGTG